GAAGGCTGAGGCTGAAGGATTGCCGGAGCCCAGCAGGTCGAGGCTGCAGTGGCCGTGAGTATGCCACTGCACTCCAGTCTGGGTGACAGAGTAAGACTCCAACTCAAAAAAAAAAAACAAAAAAAATACCCCATCAAATTAGCTAAAGTTGGCTGGAATGGTGGCTCATGCCTGTAATACTAGTGCTTTGGGGAGGCGGAGGCAGGACTACTTGAGCCCAGGAGTTTAAGGTGACAACTATAGTCACGCCACTGCACACCAGCCTGGGTGACTGACAGAGTGAGACCTCACTTCAAAAAGCCAAAGTCAAAAGATGATATTCCACTGGCTGAGGCAAAAGACAAACGTACTTACAAAGCTGGGTATCCCATAACTGTTTGGGAAAGCCTCAGAAAACAATCAAATACAGACATGCTCAAAGGTATATTCATGCCGGGCTCAGTGGCTCAGCCTGTAATCCCATGCCTTTGGGAGGCTGAGGTGAGTGGAATGCCTGAGCCCACGGGTTTGAGACCTGCCTGGGCAACTTGGTGAGACCTCATCTCTACAATAAGTCAAAAAAAAAAAATTTAGCCAGATATGGTAGCACACGCCTGTTGTTCCAGCTACCGGAAGGCTGAGGCGAAAGGATCACCGGAGCCCAGCAGGTCGAGGCTGCGGTGGCCGGAAGTGGCCACAGAGTGAGACTCCAACTCAAAAAAGAAAAAGGTATGTTCATTACCATGTTACTTGAAACATGCTAATAGGAGACTGCTTTCTTCATGAAATAAACAGTTCATATACACACTAGCACTCATGTATTCAAGTTATAAATAAGGTATAATTGGTATAAGACAAAATGACAAACATGACCATAGCCATTGGAAGCCAAACACATTTTTTTCTTGTCTGCAATACATTTTGCAAAATGACAATAGTTTACTTTTTTTTCCCTTCAGTCAGTGTCTCACTCTGTTGCCCAGGCTGGGGTGTGGTGGCATGCTCACGGTCACCCAAGCGTCGATCATTCTGCCTCAGCCTTCCAAGTAGCTGGAACTACAGGCACATGCTACCATGCCTGGCTAATTTTTTTTAGATATTGTAGAGTTGAGGTCTCACCAAGTTGCCCAGGTTAGTCTCGAACCTGAGCTCAGGCAGTCCTCTCTCCTCAGCCTTCCAAAGTGCTGGAATTACAGGCTTGAGCCACCATGCCCAACAGTTTACTTTTATAGTGAATAATGTTAAGGAAGAACTCTTACATCAAAATGACTATGTTACAAACTTGTGTTAAATGCTTACCATTATGTGGCTTTCACAGCCGGAGTTTTTTTAGATCTTAACTTGAAGTATAAGACCATCAAAGCAATGCCTCCATATGTGGCCAATACACACTGAAAAAGAAAAAAGTAAATGGGCCGTTGTCACGACTATATTATCCTAAAATACAGCCCCCTCAAGGTGTCACCAATACTTACATTCATTCTACCCGTGAGGGTGTATGAGTTGAAATATTTTTTAATACCAGTGAACTGGAATTGGGCATCAGCTTCAGGACCTGCCATGATTTTTCAATCTTTTAAAAAAGAAAGCAACAATAAATTGGTTTGGATGCAATTTAAAAGATAAATTTGTTTCGTTTTTTGGAAACTCAAAATCATTGCAAATACGCTATTGTAAGCTTTATCTCTGTCTCATCTAACACAGCAGTAGCAACAATGGTGGAAAAAGCCTTGGGGACAAGAGAAGCTTCTGGAAGTAGGACGTCACCTCGATTGCTATTTCATGCACACTCCAGAATGAGTCAAATCACTTGGCACAGAAAGAGAATACAGTAGTCTCCAGCCCACCTTGACCTCAGAGCTTTGCGTTTTCATTCATGGCTCCACCACCCCACAGCATGTAGCCATACATTGATGCCATCAGCTCTAAGACTCCTGGAATGTTGCAGCTTCTGATATTTTTTTCAAGCTTTCTTGGGGTGAATGCCAACTAAGCAGGTCAACTTACAACCCCTATGCTTACAATTTTTCTTGTTATATATAATTTAGGACCTCCATGGGGTGGTGATGGAAAGGAAGCTGGAATCCTTATACCAAAATAGAAAAATATTTAAATGGTGAAACCAAAAAGTCCTGGAAGAAAAGAAAACATGGGGAAATATTTTAATCATCTCAGAGAAGGCAAAATATTATGAATGCCAAAAAAGGAAAACATAAAAGGACAATTAGTCTCACCATCAGCCAAAGAAATGTAAAATGAGACTGACATTTAACCATCAGACTGGCAAGGATAAAATTATGACAATAAGCAGTATTAAGAATGTGGGAAAACAGGCCTTCCTTCTGTTGCCTGGAGTGTAACTGGTATGACCTTCCTAAAGTGCAGCATGGCAGGATCTATCACATTATGAAATGAGTATATCCTCTCACCCAGCTGGCTCCTTTCTCCTCCAGGAATGAGCCCTTACTGAAACGTGGTGGAGTGGAAACGTTGCATGGGTCAAGGGTGGTCAGGGAAATGCCATTCATAAACGTGAACAAAGAGGCTGAGGCAGGAGGAGGATGGCTTGAGCCCAGGCGTTCAAGAGTAGCCTGGGTAACATACCAATACTTTGTTTCTACAAAAAAAAAAAAGAGAAAAGAAAAGGAAAAAAAGGTATGGCGGTGCACACTTGCAGCCCCAGCTACTTGGGAAGCTGAGGCGGACTGCATGAGCCCAGGAGGTCGAGGCTGTGGTGAGCCGTGATCCTGCCACTGCACTGCAGCCTGGATGACTGAGCCCCTGACTCAAATTCAAAAAAGTCCACCTGCAGGAGACTGATGGATGCCGGCTTCCATGGGGGAACCACAACGTGCTGGATCTCTTTATACCAACAAGAAGAGACGACCCAAGTCACGTTTAAACATGCTATTTCTGGAGAGCAGAGGATGAGTCCATCAGTGGTCCCTAGGCAGCAGCATCCTGGGAGTTTGTCCTCAGGCCCTCCCCTGCCTACTCTGTGGAGCTCGGCAACCGCTGTGCTAAGGCTTCTAGGTGGTTCTGAAGCCCACTCAGGTGTGAAAATCACTGCAGTCATGGAAACAAAAAATACTTGGGAAGCGCCCAGAAAAGCCCTGGAATAATGTAGAGCACACCTTTGGGGGTGAGGGTGGGGGGGCAAACCATAGAACATGTGTATTCTACAAAGGCATTTATTTATAATAAAAGCTAGCAAAGACATTCAGAAGGTCATCAGGACAAGAGTTGAAAATTCATGTGTGGCCGCCCATCTACCACGACCAGCGCCATGCCAAGCAGATGGCAAAACAGATGCGCTGATTGAGATTGGTTAGTGGTGAGGGGCTGGCAGTTCTTGTAGTGGGAGAGGGAGTCGAGGACACACGGAAGCCATGACTCCCTGCCCAAAGCCCCCCAGAGGCATTCTTGGGCAAGGAATTGGCCATGGAAACTGAACTGAATGACCTAGACGTCAGGTAGCTTCAAGAAGGCTCTTGCAGCAATGAGGGAGATTTACACTTCCTCAGGCCCTTCAGAGGCTGTGCCCAGTCCAGCGCAACCAGAAAAACCTCCACTAAAAGCAGTTTTATGATGTAGCTTTCACGCCAACCGTTTCATTTTCTAAACTTACTCAGGACACCGCCCCATGCATTTCTCATGGTATGAAGTAGGTTTCTAGGAGAACCCCACAACAAGGGCTTAACTTTCAAATCCTTAGCTGACAACCACACTACACCGTGTCTAACAAAACTTTTTAGGAGGACATGTCCACCAATATCAAGGCTTTTCATTTATCTCTAACTTACACAACGTGGGAGGCTGACATTTGTGACATCCCACAGGGAAGGGCACGGACAGGAGCTGAAACTCGGCTTGACTCTCGAGAGGCTGAGAGGGAGGACGATGGGGAATGGGAGTGAGCTTGAAAAGTCAGGCTCCACACTGTTCAGCAAGCCGGTTACTGTAGCGCAAAGTCCAGGCACCCCAGTGTCAGAGTGTCCCCTGGAGGACTCCTAACTGATTTGACCTGTGCACCTGGAGACACTGCACAGACCACCTGCCAGCAACTCGACCACTTTTTTAGGAAATAGTGACGAATGAGCTGGGCATGGTGGCTCATGCCTGTCACCCCAGCACTTCGGGAGGCGGAGGTGAGAGGACTGCCTGAGCTCACAGGTTTGAGACCAGCCCGGGCAACCTGGTGAGACCTCGTCTCTACAGTAAAATTAAAAAAATTAGCCTGGCGCCTATAGTTCCGGCTACTTGGAAGGCTGAGGCCGGACTGCCTGAGCCCAGTAGGTCGAAGCTGCGGTGGCCGTGAGTGTGCCACTGTACTCCAGCCTGGACCACAGAATGCCTCTGGCTGAAAAAAAAGAAAAGAAAGAAAAAGGAGAAACATTTCATACTAAATAGTACAGTGTTGGAACCAACTACTTAACTGTAATGATGTTTAGCTTACAATTGAAATCTAGACACGGAGGAACTTATTTAGGGCACAAAAAGTCAACACTGTATCTTCGAAGAGCATCTCCAGTGATCAGTAGCTCAGTACACAGTCCATCTCTGCTTTTTGGCGCAATTTGAACGGAAGACCCCACGGAAACACAGTTTTGAAAAGCCTGCGCCGGCTGTTTGTCCGGTGTCGTCACCAGCAGCCTCTTTGTCCCCGAGAGGGGACGTCTGACGCCGAAGAGGCGGGGGGCCTTCTATAACAAAGAGAGAAAGGCCTTCCCAGAACAGAAGAGGCTGTCAGACAAAACGTCTAAGTGCGCATGGGTAGCCCAGTGACAACCCTGTGCCATAAAATCCCAGAAGAGGCAGGCTGCCATAGAAGGCAGACAAAGGGGCGGAAGCGCAGCGGACCCCGGGACTCGCGCTCCCGCCTGACTCCTCGCGCACGCGGCTCTCGGCAGCGGCGCCGGGAAGG